TTATTTTAAGATATTTTATGTTTATTCGTTCTTTTTATACATACAAATATTCAAGTAAATGTCTTGTTTATACACAGTGTCATCCACAGACAGACTGTTTCGCTTTATTACAGCTCATCAGTTTCGCTTGACGTCCGGTTGCCTCTAGCTAGGATCGAAACCTGACTGAATTGGCGTCAGTCGGAGAATCTATCCCTAAACCGTTGGCGTTGGCAGGAATGAAGGTAAATGTAAGCTTATTTATTTTTAGATAAACACACCAGTGATTGAGAGAACTCGATTCGTTTTATCGAAGATTCTTGCATTAGTAGCAGTAATAGTCACTGTTTACAAACTCACACTTCTTTCCCAGAGATCTCAACCGTTATATATATTTCTAAAGAATTAGTGGATTTTGGTCGTCTATTCCAAATACGGAGTATAACCTAAGATAAAGTTTTAAGTAATATATATAAACATACATACATAATTATATTATATCTGATTCCTCTCCATCATATATATATATATGATGTACAGGGTGGCAATAAAATCGCTGTACAGTTACTTATAATAAAAAAGCAAAGCATTGATCCAAGTGGCTTGCAGTTCGAACATTATTGGTAATAAATTTACTATTGTTTAACATAGCATTTCATTGTTATTAACCAGAATTAACCAGATCCATTTTAATAATAAATTTCTGAACTTTTGAGTGATTGCTTTATGCTTGATATTGGAAGTAACTGTGTAGTGACTTTATTTCCACCACTATCTATCTATCTATCTATCTATATATATATATATATATATATATATATATATATAAAACATTAGGCAGCATATGATTTACATACAAAGAATAATCACACATAGAATTAATCAGAAGTATCAATGCGATTATTGGCGACATCCATCGCTAGAAAACATAATATATGCATTAAAATCCTGTTCATCCATAGTGCGAGTTTTGATCCTTGAAGAAAAACTTGTTGTCTGTAGTTTTTCAGTTTATTTGATGTTAAAATGCTAGTACTTACGGACAGTCTTCCATCCATCATCAGGCATGTGTTTTTTTTGTTTTTGTTTTCCTTATAAAATCAAAAACTTGAGACATCTTCCGATATCTTACAACCGTCAATAATAGCAGATAGTCAAAAAACATCTTTCGGTCGACATGCAGGTATATCGTCTCAAGTTTTTGATTTTATAAGAAAAAAACACATGCCTGATGATGGATCAATCTTTTCTCCACAATAGTCATGGCTTAAATAGAATGGTCAGCCAAACTCTTTGGGTGGTTGCTGACTTGTTTAACGGCACATATGGGTTATTTAATGCCGAAATTTAACTTTCTTGTGAGCTTTTAATTAATAAAAATATAATATATGTTATTCTGCTTTCACAGTTGAATACATGGTAGATAATACTCAACTTTTCTGCATATACATGTTTGTGTGGACATAATTACTAGAGGCGGTGATCTGTGTGTTTTATTTTGTAGTTTTGTAAAAGCTTGTTATACACAATACATATTGAGGGCAAAAGAGAAAAGAATAGGCCATCGACCTGAAAACTTGTGTGTATGGTTGGCAGAAAATGAGACAAGAGTCTTGGTAAAAAAAAAAAAACAAATGTTGGTAATGGCTGAAAGGGATGTGAAGGACAGGAAACATAGAAGAATCTACTCTTCACCATCAGTCATCCTGCTTTTTAGTGTAGACAATGTTATGTTTATTTTTTAGATATATAGTTTCTAGATCATAAAATGTATTGTTGTTAGTTCTATTGTTGTTATGACAATTTACCCACGCACACATGGACATCCCCATTTATAAATAGGAGCAGGTACTGCCTTTTGGATTGAGGGAAGGTTCCAGCAGCCAGATCTGACAGTCGGACCGAACCTTCTGGTTGTAAAACTCTCGTTTGTATATGTTTGTATTACTGCTTCTGTTAATATATTTGTTTAACTCAATTCCTCTCTTTGTGTCTTTATTTTTGGCCCTAACAAGGCCACAACAAATTCCGTTATTATTTACATTTTTTTTCGAATTTTTCCAATGAAACATGTCACAGTGTATATTGGTTCCTTGTAGATTTACCAAAGATTCTCGATTGAATTCATATATATATATATATATATATATATATATATATATACTTTTATTGTTGCATTGGTTGTCATTTTGCGATAAAAATGTATTTTTTGTCTTTTTATTATAAAAATGTACTGTTGATTTTTGTTTGGGGTTTCACTATTTGCGTATAGCGAGGACCCTAGCAGGTGCTACCACTCCGGATCAGGGTGGACCTGGTAATGATAGCATTTAAGGAGTGGTTCTATGCTCCTCAAAACCTCATACCTTCCGATCAAAGGCCTTGTTGCCGGATGTAGTTTATCATCATACCCAGGACGAAAGAAACATGATGAAAAGAGAATTTCCATTTGGAAATAACTTAATAAACAAATCTTTTCTAACTTAATCGTTTAATTCTTTTTGATACTAGAAAGTGATTTGTTTCTATTCTCATATCGAAAATAAAATAAACAGAATAGGTTCCTAAAGATTACCTGCTTTTGCAGAACAGGTTTCTGGAAATTTAAGATGCTGTTACAGGACATAGCAATAGAGTAGCAAGGGCCTTGCAATATTTTGGTTAGTTGGTTGATTTTTATAGCGGCATATCAACACCTTTACGGGTCTTAATATCTGTTATGGGACCTTACTCATAATAACATAATGGACTATTCCATACGTAATAAATACTGCGCCTCAAGAGGAAGCAGAGAATTCAGCCTGAAATCAGGCGACTGGCTGACCGGCTGATCGGTTGAATTCTCTGCCTTCGGGGGGGGGGGATCCCGAACGAGGCTACGCCGAAGGGCGGTGTCTCTTTCGGGAAGGTAAACCGACCCTGAACCCGTTTATACAGGTTCAAAGGGCATATTTTTGGCTGAGCCCACGGGCTCGGAGATCCCACGTTAAACCGGCCTTGTGTCACATGATGCCCTCGTGGGTGGGGTGACTAAATACCGTTCAGTCTGAAGTCTGGAGTGAGATCTGTCAGAAGTCCTTCAGGAGCCTGTCAGTCAGTCAGAGCGAGCGAGTGAGTCAGTCGAGTCAGAGGCAGTCCGAAACAGAGTCGCGTTCAGACAATTACTACTAAACCTGATAGTTCGTACTAACACTTTCTTCTTCTCTGTATATATTCTTGTTTGTAATAAATCTGTGTTATTCCATACCTGTGTTTGAGTTCTTCTTTATTGGTTCTACCTTGGACTATCACCGTGGTACAAGGAACCGGACCATAACAATATGAAAATTTAAATAATTTGCACATAATTTTATGAATTCAACTAAAAAATTTTGTACGCGGGTCATTCAATAAATAAGGTGAATATTTCGGTATAAGGACCTTAATACAGATAGAAGCTTACTTTTTTTTTGGTTTTACTTCTTTTTCACATGGATTTAATTTTTTTGCAGATTAAAAAAAAACATTGAGAGTTTTGGCGATTAACAAAGATGGCCGACCAAGAAGCATGCTCCAGGATTGAACAGCGGTCAGTTATCAAGTTTTTGGTTGCTGAAGGGTGCAAACCAGTTGGAATTCATAGGAAAATGTCAACTGTGTATGGTGCCACGTGTTTCAGCAAAAAAAAAAATGTCTACAAGTGGACTAAATTGTTTAAAGAAGGACAGAGCAGTGTTGAGGATGAAGACAGGCCTGGGAGGCCTACAAAAGTGAGGTCTCCTGAGGTGATCGAATCAGTCAATGACCTCATTCAGTCTGACAGAAGAACTACTGCGAACTGCTGAGGCAGGTCAAAAAAGACATAAAGAACAAACGCAGGGGTCATCAGTCAGAAGGAGTCATCTTGCATCATGACAACGCAAGGCCTCAGACAGCAGCCCAAAGGGTGCAGACCATCAACGAGCTGGGCTGGGAACTGCTCCCTCATCCCCTTACAGTCCAGACCTTGCCCCTTCAGACGTTCACCTGTTTGGTCCCTTGAAAGTGTTCACGAGAGGCACGAAGTTTAAAAGTGACGATGAAGTCAAAAGTGTTGTGAGCGACTGGCTGAGACATCAGTCCAAAGATTTTTACGCTGAAGGAATATGGAAGCTTGTGCACAGATGGGAAAAGTGTGTGACAGTGCTGGGAGACTACGTTGAAAAAAAAAGTAAGCTTCTATCTGTATTAGAAGTCATTATATCGAAAAATTCACCTTATTTATTGAATGACCCGCGTACAAAATTTTATACTTTCAGTATAACGGCATGTGTTTTAGATAATATTTTCTAGATCATAAAATATGTTTTTGGGAACTTTACTATAAAAATTTATTTTTTATATTTTTTTTAGTGTTAAATTGTCATTTTGCTATAAATATATATTGTTGGTCATTTTATTATAAAAAAATGTACTGTTGATGTCTGTTTGGTGGTTCACTATTTGAACGTAACAGGTTCAACCACACCGATACAATTAAGAGGTGGGTCCACGCTCTTCAAAATCTACAATCTCCCGATCAGGGGCCTTTGCTGCCGGATGTAGTTTATCGTCTTACCCAGGACGAATCTTGCATGGTACCCATCGTAAGGGAAGGGAGCTCGGAATTAAAACTCACGAAAATGGTAATAGGAAATTACTCCATTGTCTTTCCCAAGAATCCTTGGCAATTCACAAAAAATAAAGAAAAGAAATCTGTGGAGAGAAAAGGAATATTGATGAGGTATATCATTAAACAATTATGGTAAAGGAAAATCATTTGCTTTCACTTATACTTTTTAATTGGGTTGCATGTAAATAATTTATTAGAATCATATTTTAAAAAAAAGGTAAACACATGACTAAACTGTAGTTTGAAACCGAATCACAGAATTTAAATAACAGATCCAGAGAATAATGACGGCAGATTTAAAAATTTATGGGATTGCCGGACGAGAAGGTGTCGGATTATAGAGTTATTATTATTATTATTATTATTATTATTATTAGGGAGTAGTATGGACGCATAAACAGAGAGAGGGAAAGAGAAATAGACGGAAAGAGAGAGAAAGGGAGGAAGAAAAGAGAGAGGGAAGGAGAGGTAAAGAGAGACATGGGTAAAGTGAGAGAGAAAAATAGAAAGAGACAGAGAAAGTGATGTGAAGAGAGAGAGAGAGACAGAGAATAAAAGAGATGGACAGTGATGGAGCGAGAAAGATAGAGGAGAATGTTAAAGAACGAGTAAGGTCGAAAGATTCAAAACATTCCGGACTATGGAAGTTGCCGAACGAAAAACAGTAGAGTTAACATTATTATTTATAGAGTTATTATTATTATTATTATTATTATTATTATTATTAGTGGACAAAGAGTGCTATGGACGCAGAAGCAGAAAGAGAGAAAGAAACATAGATAGAAAGAGAGGGAGAGGGGAGGGAATGGGAGAGAAGGGGAAGGGCAAAGAGAGAGATGGGAAAGAGAGTGAGGGAAAGAGATAGACATATGGAGAGAGAGAGGGAAAATGAGGGAAAGAAAGCGAGAGTGAGAGAGATGGAGAGGAGGAAGGGGAAGATAGAGAGAGAGTTAGAGGAAAAAGTGAAAGAAAGAGATCAATTTTGTAATAAGTTCCGTCTGGTAAATTTAGCGAAATGGATCTGATCGTTTTCTCTTTTATCCTATTTCAGATCACATCAATGTCAAAAAGATTTCAGGAGTAGGGTGGACTGGGGTAAGAGAATGCCCCCCACACACACATAAGCATTCGGAAACGCATAAATATAGCCACCTTACCAAACCACATAGACATTCATAGATAGATAGATAGATAGATAGATAGATAGATAGATAGATAGATAATGAACAAATTGAAATGCATGCATAGATAGATAGATAGACTGATAATAAAAAAATTGAAATAGATAGATAGATAGATAGATAGATAGATAATAATCAAATTGAAATTCATAGATAATGAACAAATTGAAATGCAATCATAGATAGATAGATAGATAGATAGATAGATAGATAGATAAGAACAGACAAGAATAGATAGATAGATAGATAGATAGATAGATAGATAGATAGATAGATGAACAAATTGAATATCATAGATAGATATTGAACAAATTGAAATGCAAACAGATAGATAGATAGATAGATAGATAGATAGATAGATAGATAGATAGATGAACAAATTGAATATCATAGATAGATATTGAACAAATTGAAATGCAAACAGATAGATAGATAGATAGATAGATAGATAGATATATGAATAGATGAATAATAGATAGATATGAACAAATTGAATATCATAGATAGATATTGAACAAATTGAAATGCAAACAGATAGATAGATAGATAAATAGATGAACAAATTGAATATCATAGATAGATATTGAACAAATTGAAATGCAAACAGATAGATAGATAGATAGATAGATAGATAGATAGATAGATAGATAGATGAAATGAACAAATTGAATATCATAGATAATAAACAAATTGAAATGCAAACAGATAGATAGATAGATAGATATGATGATAGTAATAGATAGATGAACAAATTGAAAATCATGCAAATAGATAGATAGATAAAGATGAACAAATTGGATATTATAGATATTGTGAATGCAAACAGATAGATATAGATAGAAATAGATAGATAATATTTATAAACAATATAAAATGTTATGAACACATTGAAAACACACACACACACACATAAAGCGGGATATATTATATATATATATATATATATATATATATATATATATATATTTATATATATATATATATATATATATATATATATATATATATATATATATGTGTGTGTGTGTGAAAATATATAGAAAATAGGAAGGAACTGTTAGGTAAATAATCCAAAGTTCCTACATATTTTCAAATTATTTTTAAAAAATAGTGCTCGATACAAAAGTAGAGCATAAATATAATTATTTATTTAAAAATATGATTCCATATCATATTTTTAAATAAATAATTATATATATATATATATATATATATATATATATATATATATATATATATATATATATATACTGCACAGAACGATATATTATCAACTTTGGAATAAATATTTTGTATTAAACATTTTGTAATGAATATTTTAGGTACCTCCAAACATTCGCTAAAACCTCAGCATACATGATGAAAAAATATCCAAACTTAATAAAAATGAAATTTTATCTTCAAAATATTTGTGTTATTTTCAAAAGGAAAGACCAACGGATGTTTTATTATTAATTTTTTTTTTTTTACCGTTTTATTTTTCGTCAAATTTTGTGTAAAAAATGTTGTTTTCCTTGTGTCAGCAGGTGACCATAAATTAGTATGGGAAATTTTAATATCTTTTTGTAGGGAACCAAATTGATTTGGAAATTCTTGCAAAAATCAGATAATTATCGGATTTTAATAAAACCTTCAGGACCTATTCATAAATGAATTGAAATATTGTTTGAAATGTCTTTTTTTAAGAAAATATTTAGGGAAACATGTTTT